GGTGTATATATATATATATATATATATATGTGTGCTAAAAATGGCGCTCAAAGTGAAACACCATTACATGGTAAATTCAAATTTATTTTTGCATTGAAAGTGTTATTGATTAACCTTATATAGTAGAACATCCAGAACTTATTTTTTGAATTTTATATTGTATAGATGTAAGGAAGTTTTACCGCCGTATCCTTGGGCTACAATTATGGAAATTAAATAAGAATTGAAATACACTGTTGTTTTTAGCCATGAATTCAGAAAGTAATAGGAACGTACCACCTGTCTGTCATAAGAATGTTAGTGTAATTCCTTTTTATGAGCTCACATATGCCAACTTCTTGACTTATTCCATTAGAATCGCATGAAACGTTCATTTGTTATGAAGCAAGACATATTAACTTTTTAAATGTAAATGTTAAAAAGAACTTTACATTATCTTTAAGTGAAAAAATCAACAAAAACTACCAAATCAGGTATTGTACAAATACGTGTGATAATGCATTTTACTTACATTTCGTGTCAATAATTCCTAACATACGGTTATCAGCAGAAGCTTTTTGTTTTGTGCATATGCATTATGATTTCAAATTTTGTATACCCTACATAAGTATATTTCGTTTTTTCTATACAACCATGTTGTGAACAAAATAAGCAGGTGCTTCAACCTAGCGGATGCAGACTAGCCGTATTCTTCTACCTCCATGCTAAGTTGCGCTGTTATCAGGTTATTACATATAACAGTGGTGGATAAAGACAGATATCCTTTACTTTTCTATTGACAAAAGGTAAAGTTTACGTTTTCATCCGTTCAAAATAAAACAATCGAACTACTTTAAATTAATTAAATATTTTTATCCACGATCTCAACAATAATCACAAATTATTGGCGTTCATTTCAGTCATGTTAAAAGAACACAATTCTAATTTATTTTTGACCTCAACAAGAAACACAAGCTTTTAATGCGAGTCAAAACGATGACAGAAATACACAATACTGATTTTCTCCGTTTTCAAACAATAAAACACAAATTTCCATAACAAGTAAACAAACTACATAATATACTTTCAAAAAATTTCAAGAAAAGGAATATTTTTAGATTTCACCTTCATCCGCTAACTACAACTTAGGTAGTTGAAACTTAGCTCTTTGTGAACGCTGAATTCTTAACATTGTAGTAAAAACAAAACAATAGCAAAGAAACAACGTTTTAAAAGACAGTTCATCAGTAAACACTTTACATCTAAGTTTAGTATTTAGTATATGAGCTTCAATAAAGAAATGTTTACATAAATATATTTTTGACAATACAGTTCATACATCTTAGAGTAATCTCCAAACCTACTGTTCGATATACTCTTGATACATGAAGCACTGAACATGACAGTAATTCCATTTATAAGAATATACAAGCGCTTATAAAAGACAACATTTTGAAGTTTTAACATTAGTAAAATATGATTTCAAGGAGAATGCAGGGACAACTAAATAAAACTAAGAAATGATATAAGAATATACTACACGGGATATATATATTGTAGATTGTACACTGTGGTGAGTAACATGCGCGTTGTATAGAAATTAAGTTAAACTACAAACATATCAGAGACTTGGCAAGCGTCCAATATAACAGTGCTTTGATACTACATTGTCAATTTAACAATGCCAAATTACATAAGTAGCTATTAGGATGCTAGACTAACAATAAGCAGAAACGTTAGAAGCTCGTGTTATATCATTCAATCACAATAATTCCTGCTACGAAGATAACAGATATGCGTTTTGGGCATGCAATAATTTAATGTACACAAACAAGTACATATTACATTGGAATTTATTGCGTTCTTTCGTGAACCGATTTGGAAACACGTAATATATATATATATATATACCATGCAGAGATACAGCAGCATATATTTGTAAGATACATGAGTAATTACATGCTTTTCTATAGAATAAAACACGACTAACTTCTCTTCGGCGTTTTTGGAGTTTTAAAAAAGAAAGAAAGGGAAGACGGAAATATAACGTATATAACTACGTGCAGCAACCATACATAGACAGTAAATGAAACAAGTCGGCAAATATTCACAAAAGTTTGAATTTTTAGCTCATTTGTTGTTGTTCTACGCAAAGCTCGAGCCAAGTAACCTTGATAGCTCTGAAACATCATATCTGTATATTACAAATCAATGAACACTAACTTTTAACAAGTCAAACTGATGAGGTAGACACAACTTACATCATGATACCTCTAGAATTACTTGACAAAGTCTAACAGTTATTAATAACTGATTTACGCACCTTACATACAACAAGTATATATGACTTATCTATAACTTATGCTCAATATGAACATGTAGTTAACACTTGACGTACGATAAACACGATAATATTTGTAATTAGACTGATAAACATGGTAAAAACCCAGAATGCTTCTAAGTAAAACATCAAGCCTGAATAGCCACAATAAAACTTTGTGACATTAGAAAGTCATTGATAATTAGAAGAAATTGTAATACAAAAATAAAGCTTGAAGTGGCTTTATTCTCTTTCGCACATTATCTTGATGGTAAAATGTATTTCGAATTTCCAGCTCATAGTTCATAAGCGGCAAAATCAGCTTTTGGATGTGTACACCAAAATATACTGACGTTTAAATACACATTTACAGCTTAAGCTCAACAAAGATTTTTCTTATCAAAATTGAAACTCCAGGTACAAGAAAATGAGTGAAACTTTTTCGGTCACTTGTAAAATTAGAGTTTGAAAAACATATATTTTAAAATTTGAAACTTGCACAAACGTTGACTCAAAGTGGAGAAAATCAATAGACAATTTATAAACATTTCCTACAGAGAACAAGATTATTCGGAAAGAGTTCCATATGGCACCCCCACCCAAAAATTGTAGAATTGCCTGGATAAAAAAAATTCTAAAAAGGGTTTATTTTAAGGGGCGTGTTAGAAAAATTTGGGCATGGCTTTGACAAGCATTTGTGTAAATACACGTGGAGAACATTATATTCTGATAAAAGTAGCCTTTTTGATGCCTTTATACAAGACATTTGTAAAGTTTATCCCCAAGAAGATTGTACATCTAATTAATGAAGTAAGTGGTATAATAATGTACTAAAATTATCAGATCATACTATTAATATGATTTATTAATACATAAGTATTGCTTTGATGATTTTTTTTTTTAAATTGAGTAGGGGTACCATATGGAACTCTTATCGATTATTCTTAACTTTTTATTCACATTGAAAACAAACCTTGTCATAAATCATATTTTTTGTTAAATTATTTTGTTATTGTTTTAATCAAATGATGCAAAATAATCCAAGATTATTTTCTTACCTTACCACTTTTTGTGTTTAAATAAGATCGTGATAAGCAAAGTATTTTCGATTCAAAATTAAAATGATCAAATACGTGAAATTATAAGCTAAGGTCAGAATAAATTGTTATTCATGCCTATGACACTAATTTATACATAACTGAATTAAATTCGTTGAATTTGTGGCACTCAAGTCTTTAATAGAAATACGTGATGGATGCTTTAGCATTAACACAATAATTCTTGTATAAAATATTTGGTAACATTAAAAGAACACATTATTTTAAAAATATATTGGGTAACAAGTTGCTTGCAACTCATTTTTAAAACATATTCCACAATGTATAGTAGTTACTTTGGTGTCTATTGTATGACTTTTTTGCAACAGAAGTTTATGTTGTAGAAATTGTTATATTCATATACATAAAAAGAATATATATATTGTTAGGAATAAGTTTCTTGTTGGCATTCTGGGTTCAAAAACTCCCTGTATCATACTTTTAAAGCTGCTTGTTTAATCTCAAAATTAAAGCGTAAGTAATCTGAGTTTCATATTTATAGGAAACAACTTAGCAATGCTGTTATGGCTACCTGTCATTTCAGAGCCCATCACTCTTCTTCTACTATACACCTAAAATAATGGGGTACAACTCAGAAAATGATCTCAATCTATACCAACTGCATGACTCATTATGAAATTTAAATATCATGTGCCTTCATTATACAGTCAAAAAATTAAATATTTCTACTGTGTTTTACTCCATCATATTTAATACTTTTGTAACTATTTTGTTACAACTGATGCATCTAATGACAAAGTGTGCTGTATGATCAAGCACCATCTCTGAAATATTCTTAAAACATTTCTTAAACACCATGTTTAATACATATACGAGTAAGAGTAAATTTATCAGGATAAAATAATTTTAAAAATTCCAAACTAAACGTTTTAATTTTTATAACTTAAACTAAGGACTATGAAGAACAATGTTTTTGTTTATGTTATGATTAAAAATAAAAAGAGACCCAAAACTCGAGTGCTTTTGAATAATTGACTATTCTTCTTCAGGAGAATAAAGGGTGTTTGTGTCCATTATGGTAGGAGGTAACATGCTTTTCTAAAAACGAAAAAGTTGCTTCTGTAATTTTTAAAATCTAACATAAAGGAAACAAGCTAGAAGATAAGAAATAAGAAAATAAATCTCTAAAATGGTTTTATAGGTCAGCTTTAGCAACAGAATGAAGTTGGACAAAATAATGACATCTTGCAAGAGAAGAGATATCGATGAAATCTTGGACGTAATTACATTAAGACACAGAAGGAAAAAGTGATCAGCACATTTCACACAAGTAAAGTCAAGGCAACTTATTTTACACAGCAGTATCAGCTTTGGCGACAGTGAAAGGCATCTTTGTACAAAGGCTATACAAACAGCAAGAATCTACAATTCCCTTCATCATCAACTGAAATTTTAAATTATACCGGCTTGTGTCTTGAATTGCCACCAAATTACATTAAGTCTTCAGGCTGAACTTTACATACTACTCGTTCACCATCCAAAACAGCCATTACTACAGTACTATCACTAGGGTGTTTGTTTTGATCTGTTAAAATGTAACTATTACAGCAATCTTTCTGAATGTTGTCCATTAAAGCATTATCACTACAAAAACTCTCTGAGTAATCTAGTACTGCAATGTCACTAGGATACCTTGTTTGGTCTATTGAAATAAAGCTATGGTCAGGGTAGCAGTCTGATCTTACAACATTGTTACTGTAAATGCTCAAACTGGAGTCTGTTGTTTCAGTCTTATCCTGATTGTTCTTACAGGGCTTAACAGCTGGCAGGTACCTATGGCAAGACTGACTAGTTTTTTGTCCATCACTGAACTCACTGCTTGGGGTGGTGGAATGAGCAGGAAGAGTAGATGAGGAATAATTTCCTCTATTGTCTATAGAACTGCCTGATGAATTGTCAGAATCTGTAGGACTTTCTTTTTGGTTAACTACTTGGCTTGGAGAGACCTTGGGTATAGAATGAAGTGTTTGGCTAAGTTTGCGATCTTGATTTACAGTCACTTTTGTCTCTGTCAGATTAAAGGGAATCAGTGGGTGCTGATCACAGACAAAACTTGATGCAGATTGTTGACTGGGACTGTAATTATATCTAAAGTGTCTATCAGATGGCATGTGGTGACAAGAAACTGAAGGTGGACACCAATCAGTGGACCATGACAGAGGTTCCTGATCAGCATCAATAGACTCATAAATATGATCCATAAATGAATTCATTCTTTGATCAAAATCATACAAATGTATTGCACCTTGTTGTCTACACTGATAATGAAGATCATATGCTTTCATTGGATTTTTAATCACACTTCCAGGAGCTAAAGGTCTATTGGATTTATTGATTCCCCATTTTCCATCCTGCTCTGTTTGATCTTCATCAAGAATATGGTTTCCAAGTGTGCTTCTTAGTTGAAACTTTCCAGAGAGAGTCTGAGAGGACACAGTGCTGCTTTTTGAAGGTCTTCTGTCCTGGTTTATTCCTCTGGAAATTATAGGGTCTAAAAGATAAAAAAAAAAAAAAAAAAAGTTAAATCACAAGTGAATTCACTTACCTACTGGAACATACACACTATGTCATAAAATTCATATTGTAATCCAGTCTTAATGTTTATCTCTTGAATGATTTGGCATATTTTTTACCTTCTAAAATAGAGTTATAAAGCAAAAGTAAAAAAGATAAAATATCCTTTGAAGCACAAAAAAGTAAGCTTCAATTGTTAGATGATCATTATTTATTATTTGACTAATAGTGAAATATAAATGGTCTTGACAAATAGATACACATTTTTCCAGTTATCCCTAACAGTCTTTATGAACAAGAGCAGCTTCAGGAGACTAATAAAAATAAAAACTTTTCTCACCTTGTGCAGTGTTGATTACAGATGAAGTAACCAAGGGTTTATCATGTCCTAAAATTGTAACCCAAGACTGTGGAGGAGACTAAACACAAAACAAAAAATACTTGCATTCATAACAATTGCTTATTTTAATTAACATACATACATATAAGAAACAAAAGTTAAGAAATTCAACACAAGGTAGTTCATTATGAGCTTCTTAAGATACGTTTAATAAACACACAATATACAATAATAAATCCTATATAGGTCAAAAATAGTTGTTAAAAGCGAGGGTACTCCAATGAAGAAATGATGCATTCTGATCTTTATAAGTAGGAGTGTAAGTATATTTAGTTGGTAAAGTTTAGTTTTGCTCTAAGCAGATAGATTGTTCTGATCAGAAGTTAATATCGATATATAACTAAGTGACTGTAGTGCTGAAGACAATCATCTATTTTATTTTTCCTATAGTGTCAAATGTAAGAAACAATAAAAAATAAATTCGGGCAAATACTGCAAACTATATTACTCAAAATCATGAATAAATTATCTGAAGAGAATTAGGAATAGAAATATTAAAACATACCAGCATGTGGCAAAACATTTTCAATATTTTGCTTTTATTTTGATTAATTGGAAGAAAAACTAACAGTATTTCTTGATGGTCCTACTGTTGTAGAACCAAAATGATAAATTTCAATTATTAATTACATTACAAAAAAAAACATAAGATGAAAAAAAAGTTATAAATGCTATATCTATTGTAAACGTAGAAAAACATTAGTTCATCCCCAAAAAATTTAATGTTTACATGAACTACTAACTGTATAAGAACAGAAAAATATGCAATTAAATATCAATTCATGGTTGATGTTAAGTCATAGAAGAGTAGAATAACAATCAGTTAAAGATTATACGAAACATACACATTTAAATATTGATGTTTTTGAGTTATAGACAAGATGAGGTTACATCTTTCTTTACGACCTATGGCTAGCTACTATCAAATTCTCATTTGTTCAATTATATGAACAGATAAATGAATAGGATATAATGGTTTTGATGTTTTAATTTTTTTGGTCCAGAAATTTTCATTGGTTTATAAAATCAGCAGATCATTAACATTTGTATTTTAGCATTGATCTGCTGTTCCAATGAGCTGGGTTGTTAAAATCACTGTTAATATTTTATATAATTGCAAAGTACAGGTTATTCACATACTATATGATTATTTAATAAAGTACAGTGATTCTAGATAGCTGCTAGATGGCTCTTGATTTTAACCAGTTGTATGAGTATGTTCCAAGTTTGATAATTTATCTATGATATCTCAACATGCCCTTCACATTCACTCCTTCAGGTCTGTTATGTCATAAAGGAAATATTCAATAATTCATAGTATGGACAAACAAACTATATTCTTTGGCTTATGAATTCAACAAACTTAATTCCATGGACTTCTTTTGCGATATGTGTATTCTAGATGCTCATTTTAAATTGAAAATCTAAAAGCACATTAAAGACTTCATACTCACCACAATGTCACGTTTTAACATATATAGAGGAAGTATTAAATATTTATAATTAGTCATTTATGATGTGGAAGACATGATTTGCATTTATCAATTAATCAAAGTTAGTGATTTTCAGGTAACTAAACTTTTTTGTGTTTTTATCATTTTTAAAACTGATAACACACAGAAAAGCAGTTTAAATGAAGGAAGAGGAGATACAACAAAAGACAGATAACATAAATCAACACACAAAAGAAAATATTTACATATTTTGTGCTCATATAGTTCCATCCCTACATGCAAAAAAGGAAATAATTTATCAACAAAATCTTACACTGTGAGAACAGACTGGCTGTGTAATGGATGAAGTGGCAACACTAGAATGCTGTTCTTGTGATCTTTGTCTACAAAGACAATTAGGAAGCCAATCTGATTGGTGAATGAGTTTCTTATATTCTTTCTGTACCTAAGGAAGTTAATTTATGATAAATGTACACTAAAATAGTATATATATATATATATATATGGTAAAATGATATAATTACATAATTCAGTAAAGTTACACAAGTACGAATTATTACAATATAGATACTTAGTAATACAGAGTAAAATACAGATGACTAGTAAAGCAGTACAAGTATGCAGTAAAATCAAATCAAGCACTATCTAATACATTGATATGCTTAATATGATCAATGTTTACAAGATAACTAGTAAAATGATTTTTTTGTAAGCTATGTAAAATTAGTTAAAAATATATAACTTTAGGTTTTGTTGGTATCATAGAGAAATTTCAACTTGTTATAATTAAAAATTACAATGCAACAATTCTTATTCACTCTTCAGCTTAAGGTAATCATATAATCATCTGATGGCTGCAGCACACTTAAGTTTATAAAAATACCTTTTCATTCCTGACACAGTGGAAAAGGAAAATGAAAAGCCCTTGGAGACTGTTCAGAATAGTAAAAACATATGCCATGATGACAGATTCTTGGTTCAAGTAGAGTAACCCAAAAGCCCAAGTCAGGCCTAACAACACAACAAGTACCAATGCTCCCCGAATCCATA